ATCGCTTTCTGAGCACTGGCTCGTAATCTGTTGTCGTGAAGGGTTTTAAGCCTATGGATTTCTCTTTCCCATACCTGGAAATAAAATTCTAAATTATATTGAGGAAAAAATACCATCTGAAGATACTAAACCTTTTCTTTTTCTTGATAGACTCGAAATATGACTTGTTCATTGTGCTCCATGGTTTGTCTGAGGTAGGCCAGCTCAGAATCTCGATCTCTGAGGGCTGCCTCCAGCTCAGACACGCCAGAATCGCTAGGTGAGGGAGTAAGATCTAGAAGGCTCTCTACGTTGGACGTTGATAATCTGTATGAGCCTTTATGTCTAAAATTTATGCAAAAATAAATAAGCTTCAACAAACACTGAATTTTACTTACAATAATAGTCCATCCAAATGGTTGTGAGGGCTTTTCCTCACACTCTCCAAACTGTCGTACCCGATCAACTTATGGCTGTGAGGTATAGATGGCAACGAGCTCATGGCTAAAGGAGGTGAGGAATTGGTTGAAGTACAAGAAGATCGGATCTTCCTATCCAGAGAATAATTCTGGATGGTTGGTGTCCTATGTAGATCACTTGTACCTAAAAATTGACAAATTTAGTTAAAGTTGGAGAACTTTTGATGCTGATGATAATGCTAAGTTGTTTGGTGTTTTGTGGAACCCTTTTTTAAAGTAATGATTAATAAATGGTATTAAAACTAGTGTTTTAAGGCAACTTACTTCCATATAGCGTTAGTCTGGAACCAGGCCTGGTTAAAATGGGCGTGGAACTGTACCTATCACTGAACCTCGAGGATGGAGTCATATTTGGTACTGATGGTTTGAATGCTATGGGACGAATAACCACTTTACCCTGAAAATAATATATAGTATTATTAATTAAAAGGACTATCGTTGAAGGATATTCACTATAAAAGAAAAAGTCGTTCTTCTTTACAGGGTTGTTCACCACATACAACACGGAGTATTGTAGCTAAACGATTATATTTTTACAAATTGTAAGTTTTGGGACTATTAGAGCTACAATTTAAAAATAATTTTACAAGATACAGAGTTTCCCAAACAAGTAAAAAATATTATAGTTGTTTTTTTTTAACGAAACACCCTGTATATTATTCTATTTTTAGATTCTACGATTGAAATAAAGGAAAATTTGATTAAGGTTTATCACACTTAAACCTTGCCTTTTTTGAAATATTTTCAATTTTGTGAAATTGCAGTAAAAAAATTAAGGCTTCATTTCTCGAAAGGTATTAAAGGTTTTAATACTAAATATTTACTGAAGTTTATTTATTGATCAGATATTGTGTAGAAATAATAAAAATTATACTACCTTATACAGAGTATCCAAAAATTTATATTAAATAATTACTAGCTTTAACGGCAATAACTTATTTAATTTTAATCGGAACACCCTGTATATGTTACGATTTTAAGATGTACAATTTAATTTTGTATCAAATTGTATTATACCATTTTTTACCCGTCTCTCCAAGTTTTCGTAGAAAATGCTTTTTCTTATAATTTAGACCTCATTTATCACTATACCCATGGAATATTGACATTTTAGATTTTTTAAAGCAACATATGTACAAAATGTACAGGTGGTAAAAATAATAATATTGCAAGCCCATTTGTTTACAACAAGAAAACTATTATATTTAAATCTTTGTAAAAGAATATACCAATTAAATATACCACCATTATTTCCGCCAAAAAATTAGTTAATTACATACTTAATTTATTTTTTAATTAATAAATTATTCTAAGTAAATGTGGATTTGACTCAGAAATCAATATAATAATAAGTTATGTAGTAATAATAAGTTATATTGTTGTAAATAAGCATTCGTCAAAAAATGAAAAAAAAATTGTAAAGAGTTACTTCTTTTTACCACACTGTCTAATACACATACAAAATTCAGTTTTTTAGCATTTGGAGCAGTTATATTATTAATCAACGTAAATAGTCAATTAATGTATTTTGAATACTGGGATCATATTAATTGGTCCTCTTTAAAAAAAATATTCAAGTTTTTTTTTATTTTTTAATGAAATAAGCGAACTATATCGACAATATTAGTATCTGTATTCTTTGAAAATTTGTTACATCTTTAAAAATAATCTAAAATGTCAATATTCCATGGATATAGTGATAAATGAGGTCTAAATTATAAGAGAATACATTTTCTACGAAAAGTTGAAGACATAGGTAAAAAATGGTATAATACAATTTGATAGATAATTAAATTGTGCATCTGATTCTCGTAAAATATACAAGGTGTTCCGTTTAAATTAAACAAGTTATTGCCGTTTAAATCTAGTAATTATTTAATATAAATTTTAGACACTCTGTATAACTGTCGTAACCCTGTATGTTTCTGATATGATCACATTTTGTACAGATTCTTTAACGCATAATCGTTGGCTCTAATCTTAAAAAATGTTAAAATAAGAGCAAAAAAATCTCTGTAATGAGTTTAAGAAATTTCTTAAGATTTTGGTGACTCGTTTTTTTTGTGTTTTTTTTTGGAATGGTTTTGGTACTGAAATTCCGCACTCTCTTTTACAATGACCGTTGTTCCTTTAATTGAACGAACAGCACCGGCTTAAATTTATTGGTTTGTTGGGCCTTTGAGTGCAAGATTTTTAACGAGGTGGAATATAATTAAAGACTGCTACATGGTACCCAGTGGTTTTATAAAGAATCTTTCGCTAACCGTCTACAAAACGGTTTTTTCCTGTTATTTTATTTCAAAAAAATATTTTTCATCATGTCATCATCATCATCATTTTTAGCATATTCAACCATTTTCCCATTTTCAATTATGGTGTATATAGCCTCCCTCACCACATATTTAGATACTCTTTCTTTAGATAAAGAGGCATTCTAGATTTGAGTATGATTGAGTTTCTTCCATAAGTACCCCGGAAATACTAAGTATAAAAATATACATATCTTTATGTAACAGAAGTATGGCGAAAAATCTTCATAGTTTAATGAAATACTATAATCATTAAATACACTTTTTTAATTAATAAATGACAGCCTAGAATTTTTCTGTTTATATCTGGCTTGTATATCTTGGGTATTTTTGTTTTATAAGTAAAGTTTGTATATTTATATTATTTGTTTATATGGCTGTTATTTTTAGGAATATGTTTGTAGTATGTAGTATAAAATTAAAAATTAAAACTCTTTAGTTGCTCCTTAGTTGCAAAATATAGTTATTTTAAATACAAGACCGAAAAGATTAATTAATGTCGGAAGCCGATAATGCAATTTTATCGTCGTTTATAAAACAATATTTTTTCCATAGCAATTACGTTTTAAAAAATGTACAGAAATTATTATTTCAGAAGAATTTATTACGAGTAGAAAAAATATTGTGTTGAGTTGGCGTTGGTTTCTATGTAATTTGACAAATAAATAAAGCTGTCTCTTTAGTTGTCAGTTTTGAGTCAATATTTTTTAATTCTCTTTCGTGTTGATTGCTGATTGAATTGGAGCCAGAAATGGCTCAAAACGAAATAATTAAACTACCAACAGATATTCAGGCTGAGGCGACAAACGCCATATCCATACTAAACTGCCCGTCAAATTAAATACCGCAGCGACTTTTTTACTCATTTTCAACGAGTTGTAACTTTGAAAAAAATGGACCGATTTTGTTGATATTTTTTGCATATTAAAGATCGTTTTTCGTAGATTGATCTGATTTTTCTAAATTTTGTATGAGATTTAGTTTTCTATGTTATATAGGGTGTGAAAAAAAGGAATGTAATTTTTGTAATTTTTGTGTTGCTGCCATTTTGCCAAAGAAAAAATTTAACTAGAATTATAAGTTCTGGGTATAGCTAAGACTAATATCTCGGGGCGTATTTGGAACTTTTACGATAACTCATCTGGAATAAAAGATAATCAATTTTTACTCTAACTTGTATTTTTTCTACCTTTCTTAAGAGATATGCTAACAAAACTGAAATTAACTTTATAATGTAGGAACATGTTACATAAAAAGTGAATGTGAGTTTTACATTATTCATCAATACCGCGTAGGTCCGCCTCATACCCGCAGAAGTTCGGCTGTTCTTCTAGGCATACTATCCACCAAGTTCCTGATAAAATCCTGGGGAATAGATTCCCATTCGATAGGCAATCGCCAATTCTTCCACATTCAAAAATTCTTGCTCGTTCTTGTTTTTAAGCACTTTAAGTTGCAGCTAAACTACAAATTTTTAGACACAAAAAAAGAGTTTTTACAAAAATATCAAATACGTGTCGAGCTTTTATATTAACCTTGTGGGCTGTTAAGTTCAGAATATTAAAAAAATAATTTATACTTTTTCGCTGGTCGTATTTTTAAGAGATCCTGTATTAAACTGCGTTAGTTAAATCATTTTTTTTTTAATTTCACATTGTAAAAGTAACGAATATCCTACAATTTTAAAGTTAATTTCAGTTTTGTAAACTAATATCTCGGGACGTATTTGGAATTTTTACGATAACTCATCTGGAATAAAAGATAATCAATTTTTACTCTAACTTGCATTTTTTCTCTTAAGAGATATGCTAACAAAACTGAAATTAACTTTAAAATTGTAGGATATTCGTTACTTTTACAATGTGAAATTAAAAAAAATGATTTAACTAACGCAGTTTAATACAGGATCTCTTAAAAATACGACCAGCGAAAAAGTATAAATTATTTTTTTAATATTCTGAACTTAACAGCCCACAAGGTTAATATAAAAGCTCGACACGTATTTGATATTTTTGTAAAAGCTCTTTTTGTGTCTAAAAATCTGTAGTTTAGCTGCAACTTAAAGTGCTTAAAAACAAGAGCGAGCAAGAATTTTTCAATGTGGAAGAATTGGCGATTGCCTATCGAATGAGAATCTATTCCCCAGGATTTTATCAGGAACTTGGTGGATAGTATGCCTAGAAGAACAGCCGAACTTCTGCGGGTATGAGGCGGACCTACGCGATATTGATGAATAATGTAAAACTCACATTCACTTTTTATGTAACATGTTCCTACATTATAAAGTTAATTTCAGTTTTGTTAGCATATCTCTTAAGAAAGGTAGAAAAAATACCAGTTAGAGTTAAAATTGATTATCTTTTATTCCAGATGAGTTATCTTAAAAATTCCAAATACGTCCCGAGATATTAGTCTTATGCCGGAACCGCACATGCGGCATTTGGCGATCTCCGATCAGGGCTTCGCCGATTTCCTATGTGTGTGGATGGAGAAGTCGGAGTTCGGCGACTCGATCGGCGACGAGAACGAGCGCTCGTTTCTATGTTGTTGCTATCAGAGCCCGCATGTGTGGATGGAAAGGCGAAGTAGTTGACGAGCGCTCGGAGTTCGCTAAATGCCGCATGTTCGGTTGCGGCATTAGCTACACCGAGAACTTATAATTCTAGTTATTTTTTTTGGCAAAATGGCAGCAACACAAATATTACAAAAGTTACATTCCTTTTTTTCACACCCTGTATATCATAGAAAACTAAATCTCATACAAAATTTAGAAAAGTCAGATCAATCTACGAAAAACGATCTTTAATATGCTAAAAAAATCAACAAAATTGGTTTATTTTTTTCAAAGTTACAACTCGTTGAAAATGAGTAAAAAAATCGCTGTGGTATTTAATTTGACGGGCAGTTTACTTCCATTTAAATCCCGAATAACTTATGAAAAGGGATACAAAAAAAATTCAAAAATGGAAGTAATTAAAAAATGTGCGAGAAGAAATAAAGTTTTTAACCTATCCTCGCTGTTAAAGTATCATTTAATCTACCGTTGCGGTTAAAGTACTATTTTATCTACTATTTTTGATAGATATAA